TCCAGTGCTGTCACGCGCACCAGCTCCTCCTCACTAACCAGCTCTGTGCCCGGCGCTCCACGTAAGTGGCAGCTCAGGAGAGCAGGGAACTGAGGCGTGCGGGCGAGGGACCTGGCCGATGTGCCCACCTGGCAGTCACACCCGAGGGCCGTCCTGCCGTGCCGCCAGGGCACACACGTGGATGGACGCTGCTGACGCGGGTGTGTCTGACCCAGCACTGACCCACATGTGTGCCCGCACGCCCGCCCTCCTTGCCATTAGCTGTCTGGGTGGTGGGATTGGAAGATGCCCAGAGGGGTCAGGCCACCCCTGTGGTCCCTCCCTCCCAGAGAGCAGAGGCAGTGCATGCATGTGACCCCCCCACCCGGCTTTCCTGCAGCTAACATGACTAACGATCCTGAGCTGGCGGAGGGGCAGAGGGAGGGGCTCTGGTCCGTGCAGTGGGGGTGGCTGCTGGGCTTGGGCCCAGGATCTTGATGAAGCATCTGCTGGGGGAGGGAACAAAGATCCAGTCTCCCTGCCCTGCCCCTGCGAGAGTCCTTCCTGTGGTGGGATCAGGCCCCACAGTCACTGGATAGCCTCAAGGTCTAGGCTCTATGACCACAGACCCTACACAGACCCTAGGCTCTAAGGTGGGCTGCAGCCAAGGGACCTGCGGCCTGTCCCAAGCCCTCTCCCTGCCTGGGGCTGCTCAGGGCTGAGTAGGGGGCCATGCCTTGCAGAACTGGAGGAGGCACCTCTGACGGTGAAGAGCGACATGGGTGCTGTGGTGCGCGTCATGCAACTGCCGGACTCGGGCCTGGAGATCCGTGATCGCATGTGGCTCAAGATCACCATTGCCAATGCCGTCATTGGTGAGGAGTCCCTGCCGGGCTGGCTCTGGGCGGGGAGGGTCCAGCCCCCCAGGCTCTGCGCCCTGACGTGTGCTGCGGGCTAGGGGCGGACGTGGTGGACTGGCTGTACACGCATGTGGAGGGCTTCAAGGAAAGGCGTGAGGCCCGCAAGTACGCCAGCAGCATGCTGAAGCGCGGCTTCCTGCGGCACACAGTGAACAAGATCACCTTCTCGGAGCAGTGCTACTACGTCTTTGGGGACCTGTGCAGCAGTGAGTGGGGGGCTGCAGGGTGGGGCTCCCCAGAGGGCCTGCCCACCCTGCCCTCACCCACCTTCGCCTCCTGCCAGATCTCGCAGCCCTGAACCTGAACAGCGGCTCCAGTGGGGCTTCGGATCAGGACACTCTGGCCCCACTGCCCCATCCGGCCGCTCCCTGGCCCCTGGGTCAGGGCTACCCCTACCAGTACCCGGGCCCCCCGCCCTGCTTCCCACCCGCCTACCAGGACCCCGGCTTCAGCTACGGCAGCGGCAGTGCTGGGAGTCAGCAGAGTGAAGGTGAGAGCCTGCTCGGTGCCCAGCTCCCCGCTGTCCCTGCCGCCTGGCTCTGCCCTGTGTGCCCACCCTCTCTGCCCTGTGCACTCCTGCCTGCTCTGTGTTGAGGCCCTGGTTGAGCTCCTTCTGAAAGGGGTGAGTGGTTGAGGGGGATGGGGAGAACCCTGCAGACTTTGGTAGTCATGTGCGTGCATCTCTGTGTGTGCATGTATGTGCGTGTGTGTGTGCACAGTTGTGTGTGTGCCTGTGTTTGTGTATGTATGCATCTCTGTGGTTGTGTGTGATGTGCATGTGTGTGTGAGTGTTTGTGTGCATGCATGTGTGCATGTCTGTGTGTGCGTGTTTCCTTGTGTGTGCGTGTCTCTGTATGTGTGCATGTGTGCGCATGTGTAAGTGGGGGGCTTCCAGATGCAGCAGAAGCTAACGGACAGGAGATGCCTTGGGGAGGGACAGAGAGAGGTCCCAGGACACAGTAGAGGACAGATATGATTCCTCAGCACCTGCAGCTCGGCCAGGAGCCAGAGGTGGACGGTCCCCAAATAACTGTGAATCCCCAGGAGCCAACGAGGGATGTTGAGAGGTGTCCCTGAGAGCAGGGGAGAGGTCAGGCAGCCAGCTCAGCAGACCCCAACAGGAGTGGGAGGGAGAGGAGAGCAGGTCAGAGGGCGGTGATGCCAAAGGGGAAGCTGCCGTTGGGTGCCTGTGGGCCTCAGACAGGCACAGCCGGTGGTGGCATGCTCCGTAGGCGGGAATGGGCATCCGGGCCGGGCCTGCTGTGTAACTCGTGCTATCCCTTGCTTTGTGCTGAGCAAGCCTTAGACTGAAGGACTAGCGGAGTGGACCCTCCGGGCCGGTAAGCCAGGGTCGTGCCCGGCGTCTCTCTCGGCATGTTCCCGGCCAGCTGGCCTTCTCAGGCTCCCCACTCTTCCTGGGAGCCCAGGACGGGGGCTGAGCTGAGTAGCTGGCCAGGGCCTTGGGGCTGGACAGAAGGTGGGTCTTGGGGCGGGGTCGGGTGCCCAGGATGGCCGATGGGAACACCGGGCACACAGGGCCTCACTCGGGTCTCAGGTTCTCAGCTGCAAGATCAGGCATTGGGTGAGACAGGGGACACTGAGCTGGCCCCAGAGTGTCCCTGCCTGCCTGCCACAACTCACCCTGCCTCTCCCCACCCGTCCCACCCCCCAGCCTGCTGCAGCTGCTCTTGCTTCTCTGAGTGGGGCCAGCCCTGCTCTGATGTCTGCATGGCTGCCCCCTTCCCACTCCCACCCTGCTTGAGACCACCAGGTTCTGGCCCGGTTGCCCTGGCAGCGGCTGGTCATCCTGGAAGTGGCCTGGCCTGATGCTGACCATCTCATTCCTCTCCCCCATTCTTGACTCCAGGAAGCAAAAGCAGCGGGTCTGCCCGGAGTGCTGGCGGGAGCAGCCGGCGGGCACTGGGCCGTGAGAAGGAGCGCCGGGCAGCTGGAGCCGGGGGCAGTGGCAGCGAGTCGGACCACACAGCACCGAGTGGGGTCGGTGGCAGCAGCTGGCGGGAGCGTCCGGCTAGTCAGCTCAGCCGGGGCAGCAGCCCACACAGCCAGGCCTCGGCTACTGCCCCGGGGCTCCCTCCACTGTATCCCTTAACAAAGGCATACTCGGTGGTGGGGGGGCCACCTGGGGGGCCACCTGTCCGGGAGCTGGCGGCTGTTCCCCCAGAGCTGACAGGCAGCCGTCAGTCCTTCCAGAAGGCTATGGGAAACCCCTGTGAATTCTTTGTTGACATCATGTGACTGAGGAGAGAGTGCCTTCAGCTTGGCCCTGTGGAGGGGGAGCCGGTGGTCCTGCCCACTCCTGCAGGAGGGCACAGCCTCTGGAGCTTATGTGGGCTTGCCTTATTGGTGGCTGTCTTGGGTCAAGCCAGCCTGTGCTTTCATGCACACAAGAGGCCAGGTCATGGGGCCCAGGCCTGGCAGAGTGGGAGCAGGCTGGGCAAGGGGCTGAGGGCACCCCAGACCACCATGATCTGAATTTGGCAGTCCGTCCATTCCCATTTGGAGCAGCTTGTGTCCATGCAGACCCTGTGCCCTTGGGGTGTGCCTCAGGGACCCCCACTTGCCTACAGAGCTGTGCGCAGGGCCCCAGACTATGCTAGGAAGTGGCTGCTGGGCCAGGGCCCCCTCTTTGCCCATCACAGGCCCCACCACTCTTTCCTGGGCTGGGTTGGCCCTTGTCAAGGTGGAATCAGAACCCCCAGGCCCTTCTGTGGATGTCCAGGGTAGGGATCTAATTTATTTATTTATTGCCTGGCCTGTGTGCTCTAGGGGAGGTGGTGGCCAGGTCAGCTGCTCCTGCGCCCACCAGGCTTCAGACTGAATGCAGGGACACAGGTCCAGTCTGACAGTGGGGGGGGGGGTGAGGGGAGATGGGAGGGGGCCGTGTTTCAGCTGGTGGTGGTGGGGATGTGACCCTGAGGGGTAAGGGGGCACAGATGCACACAGCTGCTGTAGAGGCTGGGTCTGGGGAAGAGGGGTAGCCAGCCCACCCTTCCTTGCTGTCCTCGAGTGACTGCCCACCCACTCACGCCGCTTCCTTCCTGGCGTTTCTGGCCTGCACACATCTGCGCTGTAGATACTGTATCGAGTCGGAGTGTCCATCCAGATAGTTAATAGAACTGCTTCTGTGTAAATGTTATTTTAAAGACTAAAAAGCATTTAATTTTATGGGACTAACGTGTGGCCTGTGTTCCTTCTCTTCTGCTGGGGTACCTTAGAAGGCTGGGGTGTGAGGGCTTGTCCCACCTCCCCAGGGCCTGGCTGAGAGCTGACCCAGGACTGGCCCAGTGTTGTCCTCTGGGTCCCTGGTCAGCGACAGGGCTCTGTGCCCGATGCTGGGTGCCAGTAGGGTCCTGGTAGCTGCTCTTCTGTCCGTGGTGCTGGCTCCAGGCTCCAGGGGTCTTGGCAGTGGGTGCTGGCCTTGGTGCTGACCCCCACCCCCCCACCCACTGGGCTCTGTCCACGGTGCTGGTGGCCATCGAACCCCATTTTCCCTGCTTGGCCTGGGCCACAGAGAGAAGGAGGTTGGGTATGTACCCTCCCACTAGCCCTCTGCCCTGCTCACCATTCCTGCCCCATCTGGTCCTGTGGTCAGTCATAGACTCCTGCAGAGGGGTCACGACATCTCCAGCTCTCTTACCAATCTCCTATCCCTGTGATGCTTGGAGGGGGTACTGGCTGGAGGCTCCAGGCTGGGCCTGGCCAGGCAAGTAATGCCCAGTTTGGCCTTTAAGTGACCTGGCTGGTAGGTGTCTTGAGCTCTTGGAATGAACGCCAGGAGCCTCAAGGATCCTTTTCGTGGACCTTTTGTTCAGTAGGGCTGGATCACATGGGTAGGCCTTGGCCAGGCCTTGGCTAGGACAGGGACAAAGCTTTTCTGGGGCCTCAGGTGGGTGCTGAAGCCCTTTGTGGACGCTACAGGCCTAACAGTCACTGTGCCATCAAGGTCAGCTAGTTAGCCTACAGTTAGGATCTAAAAAGCAGCAGCTGGGGTCCAGGTTGGTGGTTGCTTCATAGAAATGTGATTTGTGGGTATCTCAGCTAAGTCTGGGGTCACTGGGTCAGGCGTCACTTGTTTTTGCCCTAAGTCTCCTTCCCCCCACTACCACTACTCCCCTGTCCTCTGGCATCATCTCCCAGGAAGAACTCCGGGTTGTTGAGCTCCAGCCGCTGTAGCAGCAGGTAGCACTTGGGCAGGTGGAAGGTGGCCAGGATGCCCAGGGCACAGAGGAGGATGGCGGCCATCTGCACAGTGGGCTGGTAGGCCACATGCACATTGGCAAAGAGAGGGACAAAGGAGATCCAGGTGATGAAGTAGGCCAGCATGGCAAAAGTGAGACCCCGGGCACCATTGTAACGGCCTGGCTGGCTCTGCACCAAGAACGTGCCCAGGAAGCAGAGGAAGGCCAGCATGGCATTGATGGCATGCACTAGGCCAAAGCTGATCCAGGAGCGCACTCGGCAGTGCACCAGCACCTGCGTGGGTAGCACCCACCAGTCTGTCACCACCTCTGGTGGAAAGGCCACCAGGTACCAGGCACATAATGCCGCTTCCGCCAGCAAAGCAAACAGCACCAGCAACCAGGCCCAGGGCCCCTGCAGGCACCTACGCAGCTGATCTGCCCAGCTTGATGGCAGCTCTGAACCCACAAATATCTGGGCCGCTTGCAGGAAAAGTGTGCTCAGGCAGCCAGTGAGCGGAAGGTGAAGCAGTGGCTGCTGGGCCAGGCAGCTGGCAGGGCCCGGCTGGCCAGGGAACAGAAGGACGCTGAGGCAGACAAGGCCCAGGCAGGCCAAGCCAAAGCAGGCCCGTGGCCCCCCTGAGGCCTGAACCAGTGGGCTGTCCCGGTGCCTAATAAAGAGCCCCAGGGCCACCAGCACCAGGCCCAGCGCCAGAGCCAGCAGTATAAGCAGCACCAGCACAGCCGGCTGCCCCCATGCCAGGAAAGTGAGCCTGCGGGGGAAGCAGCGTGTGCTCCGGTCTGGGGACCACTGGTTCTGGTCACACTGGGTGCAGAGGAGGTCATCTGTCATGTGGGAGGAAAGATGGGGCACTTGGGGGAGAGTTCAGGCTCCCACCCACTTGCTCTGGCCTCAGAGTTGGCCTTGGAGTCAGGACACGAGACCTGGGGGTCCCTGCCCCCACCTGTCCCGTGTGTATGGGCCTTGGAGAGGTGCTCACCTGGGCTGCGCTGATAGGTGCCCGCCTTGCAGTCCACGCAGTCGTAGCAGCAGGAGTGGAAGCCTTTCACACGGCGCACCTGGCCCTCCCCGCACTGCCGGGAGCACTGGGACACGGGCCGCTGCCACAAAGGCCTTGGGGCTCAGGCTGTGCTGGGCTGAGTGCGCCCGCCCAGTCTTTGGGGTGGTCCCCCCGACCCCCCCCCCAGCAGAGCCAGAGCTCGTATGGGGCTGAAGGGAAAGCTGCTGTGCAGTTAGGGCTGTGCCACCTGGTGCTCACCTGGTTCCCAGGCGTGTGCCAGGACATCTGGGAGTGCCAGACCTTCAGGCGGCCGTTGAAGGCACCTACAGTGCGCAACTCGGGCTTCAGGTCCCGCCACACCCACAGTTTCAGGTCATAATCCATATTCACGTTCCCCCTGGCATCGAACTGCAGCGCTAAGCCACGCACATGGAAGGTCAAGTTGTACATGTTTTCTAGGAGCTGGTAGGCGGATTGGAGCAGGTGGGTGGGGCGAGGCCAGTAGCTGTCCCCGGCCCAGACTCCCCAGTGACATTGCTCCTCAGCAGTGCAGGGCCTCCTGGCCTTACCTGCCAGGGCCGCACTGGATCCCGTGGGGGGCAGCCCGAGGCATTGCAGAGCAGTGTGTTGTGGAGGGCCTGGGCCACGCCATACACGGCTGCATAGGCCGCGAAGGTCTGGTGGTGCAGCAGCCCTGCAGACATAGCCTCCAGAGTGACGTGGTCACACTGGGGACAGCGGGGCCCCACCACGTGCTCTTCCAGGCCCGGCTGCTCCTCATCCAGTGAGGCGCAAAAGGCAGGGTCAGCAGCTAGGGCCAGGCAGGTCTGCACATAGGATGGGAACTCGGGTATTGGGGCGCCCTGCTGCAGAAAGCCAAGCACGGTGCCCACCTCAGCCATGCCAGGCAGCGTCATGACCAGGTCTGAGGTCAGCCAGGCCTCACTGGCCACCCAAACCTTGGGCGAGAGCCTGCAGTGGATGCTGTAGCTGAAGAGGGTGCGGGCAGCGCGAGTGGAAGAGAAAAGCACCACCACCTGCACGCTGCTCTGGTTTACCTGGTGCAGTAGGCCCTGGACAGTGCCCAGCCGCAGGCTACTCGTGTGCGGCAATGGCACCAGGCCCTCATGCGCAATGCAGATGCCCCTGGCATTGGCCAGGCTGGAGAAGAGGCTCAGGCCCTGCCGGCCATACTCGTCATCGCTGCCCACCGCAGCCACCCAGTTCCAGCCAAGCTCCTGCAACAGCTCTACCATGGCCACTGCCTGTACGCGGTCGCTGGACACCGTGCGGAAGAAGGATGGGAACGTCTCCCGGTTGCTCAGCCGGTCGGTGCTGGCCCCGTAGCTGACCTGTGGCAGCCAGGAGGCACCTCCTGATGTGGGGGCTCCTGTGGGCAGGGCCAGTGGGGGCAGGGGACCCAGGAGAGGAGGGGGCGCACACCTGAGGCATGAGGAAGAAGCTGAAGAACTTGCCGGTGATGAGGGCGAGCTCAGATGAGTGTGGCCCAATGACTGCCAGCACACGGGGCTGGTACTGCGTGTAGTTGCAGTAGGCGGCGATGTCGCAGCTGCCCGCTTTGGCCATGAACATGAGGCTGGGCTTCATGGCCACCACGGGCTCCGAACATGTGTCAAAGAGGTCGTAGCCCAGGCGCAGTCCTGGCAGCAGCGTGGACCTGTTGTTGACCTCCTCTACCGCCATCTTCATGGCCAGCGCCCAGAGCAGGCCGAGGGACGAGAACCTGGGCCACAAAGGATTGTGGGGGACTGACCCCATGTCCTCCCTTGGGAGCACCCCAGAGCTGAGCCCCCCACACCATCACCCTTTGCTTCCCAGCCCCGGCATCCCTACCTGGTGCAAACGGTGGCATTGGGCTGTGTCCTGTCACTGAGACCTGTGTCCTCAGCTGTGCCCAGGGGGAAGAGCCCGCCCAGCACATAGTCCCCTTGCATCCTGAGCTGCCGGGATAAGCACAATGGGGCACCTGCTCCAAGGCCCAAGAAAGCCATGAGGCCCAGGAGCATCAGGCCTGCCATGGCAGGTGCCAGCTTCCAGCAGGGACGGCAAATGAGAGAACCGAGTGGGGGGCCCCCAATATGATGAGTGGGGGCAGGGGAGGGCAGAGGATTTGCTTAGCAAAATTATCACCTGTCCTTACCAGTCATGTCCAGGGGCCCCTGGGGACACCCTCACTTTTCTAGGCCTTGCAGGTCTGCGCTTCTTGGACTCGTTTATCCTGATGCCACCACCAGGCTCTCTGATTGACAGTGACCTGAGCAGTCGGGCTCTGACTGACCACTGACCACATCTTGTTACATGCCTGTGCCCAAGCCCCACCCCACTCCTGGAAAGGAGGAAGGACACTTAGGACTTCTCTGCCAGAGGGTCCTGGGGTCTCCAGCTGCCTGAGGGAGGTGCGAGTGCCCTGAGGAGTAGATACGGAAACATTTCTTCCAGCCCTGGGAGGACTGTCAGCAGCCTGGGGGTTGGGGGTGGTGGTTGTGGTGTCCAGGGGTGGCTTCACCTGCAGACTCAGGGGGCAGACCATCCAGGGGGACGGCAGCTGGCCAGCTGGGTCCCCATCCTGTAACTGGGGTGGGGAGGGCCCCAGGGTCGGGGAGCTGTGGCCTCTCAGCCTGCCTGAGAACAGTACAACTTAAAGGGTCTGAAACTAGAAACTTTAGGGCCTCTGAGCCTGGGCTCTTGACATAGCAGATGCCTCCCTCTGGGGATGGAGGGCACATGGGCCTGCAGGACAGTGTATGCAAACGAGCAAGGAGAGGCTGTAACCAAATAGGACCCTGACGCTGGGTCTGCACCAGGTGTTTGCAGCTAAGCCCTGATGGAGTTGCCGGTAGCAGGTCCAGCCCAGCCTCTGGGTGCCCCAGAGACCAGTCTCTTCAGGCCTGGGTCTGGGGGACCTGACATGAGGCTCAGATGTGGACACTAGGAGACACTACTGATGCCCCTGGTGTGGAGTGGGAGCTCTGGGTGGTCTCAGCCCTGCTGGGGTCTGGCCAATGTTTATAAGAGGAGTTCTGGGATCTGATCTTTGCTGCCTATCAGGAGGGACCGTGCCACGTGGCGCACTCAGGAGACGCACATACACGTGCGTAACACACGCTCAATGCCCCATACCTGCACACAACATGCCGTACACCTGTATACACTAGAGACACACGTGCAGCCTGTACTCTGGCCCTTGTGGATCCTTCATAGTCATCTGCCTTTGCTGGTACCACATGGTGCTGTGGCCCCTGCTGGGTGCAGGGCAGACCTGGGGGTGGAGGCAACCTGGCTCTGGACACTATGGGGTCTGATGTTGGAGTGGAGTGTCCAAAAGCATGCAGCCTGATGTGTCTCCTCTTTCTGTCCCAGTCACGGCTGTGGTGAGGAGCGGTTCCCCCTCCACAGGCTGCAGGCTGAGCAGACCTTTCTTCTCCTTCCACCCCAGCCCCTTGGACAGGCAGCATCCCCTGTTCCATGCCGGCCAGGAATTGCCCCATGTCCCTGCAGTTGACACTGCCTTCTGAGCCTGGCAGTAGGACCTCAGCCCCATGGGGTCACCCCCTCCTCCCTTCAGTGAGCAGCTGCCTGACACACCAAATACCTCCATCCTGCAGTACACTGCCTGTTTTGTAAGTGGAATTTATTGATGTTGGAAAAACCATCACCCGATTACACTTTCCCAGGGTCTCTGCAAGCTCACACTTGCGCACATCTGCTGCATGGTGGATATGGTCCCCTTGGGGTCAAGGGGCCTGAGCACGGTGAAGAGCCAGTAGGAGAGGCCAGGCCCCCAAATGCGATGGCTGGCCTGTCAGCTGGATAAAAGGGTCTAGCCTCTCTGTGTGTGCCATATCATCATGGGCCTCATGAGCTCTGTGGGGCTGGGGCAGCAAGGGCCAGCAAGGAGGGAACCTGGCATTTTGTTGGATGACGGGGAGGGCAAGGCTAGCACTGGGTTGGCACAGTTGTGGGCTCGCTAGAGCTCTGGGGCAGTGCAGAGCCCCTGGGTGGAGGAGCACCCGACTGACAGGGTGGCTGCAGGGGGCAGCTGATGAGAGCGCAGAGAGAGGCAGGGCAGGCTCTGCTCAGGGCTTCAGTGCCTGGCTATGGCTGCTAAGGACATGTGGGCCCCTGACTAACAAGGAGGTGAGGGGCAGGGAGAGAGTCTACACTGCCAACTGGTGCCCAGGGGTTCTATCCCTGTCCTGGGGACGGCCATCCCTGTATGGAGGACCCGGGGCACCTGGGCACAGACACCGAGGTGGGCCAGTTCCTGCTGAGTGTGTCTGCTGGCAGGCGGGATGCAATCTGTGCCACAAGGACCTTCACCACTTGGCTCCCAGGCAGGGGGCAGCTTCTCCAGGTTTTGCATGAATGTCGATCCCGCCCCTTCCCCGCCCTGCCTCTGCACTTCACCCGTCTGGGTGAGGCCTGATTGGACATCTGTGTAACTTGGCTGAGGGAAAAGCAAGGATGCCCTTGGGCAGAGCACGGTGGCCAGGGAGGAGCAGGTTGCCAGGGCCTGCTTTCTTTTTCTCAGGCCATGTGCCACAGGCCAGAAGCACGGCCCAGAAAAAAGTGTTCTTCCTGTTCCTGGGACACCCACAGGTCTCCATGGTGGGACGTTTGGGTGCTGGCTGCCCCAGGCCAGCTCTGGATGGGAGACCCTGCCCCACCCAGCCCACCAGCTCTTAGGGCAGGTCCAGTAGAGAATGCTCAGCATAGAGTTTCTGGGAGATGTTGTAGACATGCTCGATGAAGGGCAGGGCCTCACCCAGCATCTCCACAGCCTGCTCCGTGGACCCCACGTTCATGGCCTCCAGGAAGACCTTCCGTGTGGGCAACGTACAGAAGGCCACAGTGACAGCCCGGCGGATGATCCAGGGGTGGTATGCGGCCAGAGAGGCATTGTAGGACTCGGTGCAGAGCACAGCCGTGCGTGCATCCTCAGGGCTGGTGCGCAGGCCTTCCAGGAAGAGCTGCAGCCAGCGCAGGGCACGATGTAGCCGAAGCACGGTCCGGCAGCCTGAGTCAGGGTGGCGGGAGCGCCGCTCCAGGTCCACCAGCTTGTGGCTCACCTCGTAGGCCACCATGGACTGCAGGCTGCTATAATGCTCCCGCTGTGGGCCACCGCGCAGACGCTCCATGATCTGCAACTTTGTCGTGACATCCTTAGAGATGAATGAGAAGATGGCACCCAGGCTGTTCAGGAACCTGCTCGAGGGGGAAGTAGACATTCAGCACAGGGTATGGGGGAGATTGCCCCCCACCTCCTGGTACACACATCCACTTTTAGACGGGGATAGTAAGGCTCGGTGCTGCCAGGCAAGTGGTGAGAGAGAACAGCTGACCAGCCCAAGTACGTGGGAGCCTGGTATGCACTGCCCATAGTACAGCACGCAGGAAGTGTGGCCAGGGAAGCCCCACCTTTGGGGGAGGACCCACCTTTGGGGGAGGCTCCACAAGGCAGTGCCCCCCCAAATGTACCTGACTAGCCCCCTCCAGCCGGCGAGGTAGTGATCCAGCAGCACCTCCTGCTTCTCATTGAGACACTGCTTGAAACTGACTAAGACGATCTTCAGGTTGAAGTTCGACTCCAAGTCATCCATTTCTCAATATGCACTGAAACACACAGGTTGTCTCCCTGTGAGTCAGCTCACTCCCTAGGTCATTGCTTCAGGGTGGGGGTGAGAGCAGTCAGAAAGAAACTGCTGAGATCCAGGTGCCCCCACACTGAAAGCCCACCGGGGGCCCCTGATCCCCTCCTCCTTAGGGACCTGTTCCACTCTGTGTGGATCACATGCTCGCACACAATGATCTAGTGCTGCCATGCCCCTGGCCCCAAACACAGGCCTACAGATCTTAGCATGGCCCCTCCTTGTCACCCAGGCTTTCAAATCACTCTACTGTATCTTACCTACAGCACACACCTCTAACTCGTGTTTTCTTGATTGTTTATTGTTCGTCTCTCTCACCAGAAAGCATCTGTCTTCACCAGTTGGAGAGACAATTTGCTTAGTCTCTGCCCAGAGCTAAGCAGCCTTCCAGGTTGGATGCCCCATGAGACAAACAGCCCTGCCTATGAGGGCGATATTCTTGGGGAGGTTGTTGGATAATAACAAAGCCAGAAAATTCCAACATGGCAGGGATCCCTGGGTGGCGCAGTGGTTTGGCGCCTGCCTTTGGCCCAGGGCGCGATCCTGGAGACCCGGGATCGAATCCCATGTCGGGCTCCCGGTGCATGGAGCCTGCTTCTCCCTCTGCCTGTGTCTCTGCCTCTCTCTCTCTCACTGTGTGCCTATCATAAATAAATAAAAATTAAAAAAAAAAAAAAAAAATTCCAACATGGTACATAAAAAGAGATAAACACTATGAAAAAGAAGACAGTAGAGTGAGGTGGAGGGCCAGGCCCTTCCTTGCTTTACTGCTGCATCTTGAGCTAGAGCAGGAACTGTGGGGTCACCACTGTCAGACACCAAGGTTCTCACTGCTATTGGAGCTGTATAGGACCCACACAGAAGGGCAGCTGGGCCAAAGGTCCTCCATACTCTGAAGACAGCCACAAGGCCCTCTCCCAGCCCAAGGAACCTTCCAGAAGTGCCTAGGCCAGAGTCTTGCCCTGGGTTCTGCTCACATTCAGTCACTCCATAAATATTCAACTGCCCACGCATTAAAATGGGTGCTACTGGGCAATCCCGCCTCTGCTGTCCTGGGCACCTGGGGCTGACACTGTGGTTGGACCCAGCTGCATATCACCACCTGGGATGCCAGGACCATCTGCTAGGGCTTGGCGGCTGCTGAGCCCCCAGAAATGAGCTCACCCCATCTTCAGGTGTCGGGGCAGTCGACCTGGCCTCAGGAAGAAGACGGTCCTCCAGAGACTTCCACCACGCCCCTCACCTCTCTCATCCAGTCTTTCATCCACTGAGCAGGTCTCTGAGACCTTCGGGGCTCTCTTCCTGGCCACCAGACATCCTGTGGGCCTGGCCCTCTCGTCCAGAACCACAGCCGGCAGCCAACGGGAGCGGCTGGGAACCTTTCAGAACTTGGAAACAGGAAGCACACTGCTGTGCAGCACGGCCAGGCAGCCTGCCAGCTGTGGGGAGGTGATGCAGGGCACCAGCACGGCTCCCCAGGGTCAGCCCACAGCTCCAAGGTCAAGTCTCGGTCAGGAGGCCTGCCTGAGACCCCAGCCTTAACAGCTGATAGTAGGCGGAAGGCCCCGGAAGAAGAAGGCGCCCACCCCGCCACACCCAGCCCAGCGGGCAGGGGCGAGGCCAAGGGGCACCGGGCTCGGACCCCGCGCTCGGGTAGAGTGGGGCCCGGGTCCCGGGCGGGTCCTGCCCGATCGGAGGCCGGGGGACTGGGCGGGGAAGCAAGGCAGTCTGCCGCCCCGTCCTGCGCCCGGCCCCTTGGCGATGCCCAGGCCCACCTGCCAAGTTCGGTTGGACTCTGCCCCCCGCCACAGGCCCGAGCCTGACACCGTCCCGCTCACCTGTGCCACCGAGGCTCACCTGAGCCGCCGCCGTCGCCGCCGCCGCCGCCGCCGGACCCTCCGCCCCGTCGCCCCGCCACCCCGCCCCTTCTCCCACCTGCCGCCGGGATTGGTGGCTCGTTGCCCAATCCGCAGGCTCGGCGCACGGCCCGGCATTTCCGGCGGACGCACCGGAAGCTGGCCCCGTTGGGGCTGCGCCTGCGCGGTACGTCGCCGCGGGCCGCGTCCGGCGCGCCTGGGGTTCGGTTGGGGGTGTGGTGGGCCGCGGTGGTTCGGCCGGCTAGTGAGGGCCCGGGAGCGCGGCCGGCAGCATGCCAGAGATTAGGGTCACTCCCCTGGGTGAGTGTGGGCCGCGGAGGGCCGGGCCGGGCTCCCCTCCCGGGGGCGGCTGTGGGTCGGGTCCCTGCCCGCGGCTCTGCTACGCTCTCCGCGCTCCTCCCGGTGAAAGGAGGGTGGGTCCGGGAGCGGGCGACCTCTCCTGGGGTCCACCCTCCGACGCCCCGACACAGCCGCAGGGCCTGCGTGGTCGCTGCGCTGGCACCGGGCCGCGGGGACTGTGCCTCCGCTGCCCGCAGCTTCCCGCTCGCCCCGTCCAGCCGTCCGCTGTCGCTTCAGCCTTGTCTCACTTCATCTCTGCAATGCTCTTTGTTGTTTTTATTTTTAAAAGAGGCTTTCCGTTTTGTAAAAGATACACGCGCGCACTTTTAAAAGCCCAAAAAGCGCAGAACGTTGCGGAGGAGGAGGATCACTGAGAATCCAGGGTCCCAGGAACAGCTGGGGTTACCTTTTCGCGCTTTGGTGGCGCGCGCTTTAGAGGTCTCTGGGCGCCCTCCCCGCCCTGGCACTCCGTGCTCTTCCAGAACTGGCCGGGCTTCGTGTGCGGTTCCCCGCAGCTCTATTTCCTTTCTCATGGTATGAGCTCTTTCCCAAAATAGCATCCCCTTGTGTGGACGCTGAGCGGGAGAACACCCCTTCCTTCCTGCCGGGTTAGAGTACACCCCCCATGCCCCTGCCTCTGGCACCCCTCCAGGGTCTCCTCAGGTCGTGCTCTCCAGCCTGCCCCTTCAGGATGTGGCCTCTTTCTCACCATCACTTTGAGCAGTTCTGCCTTTCTACTGCTTGTTACCCCAACCTGCACCTGATGTGCTCCCAGGGCCACAGCAGCAGCAAAGCACAGCCTCATGGGCTCCCTGGGCACATGGACCAGATACAGACAGTCTTGGGTCACTCCAACCACACAGCCTTTGTACAGATACCCCTCCCATCTCCCCTCTTTCCCTCTCCACCCTGCTCAGAAGTCATTTTAAGGTGGACTTACTTGCCTGGTTCTAGTTCTGGAACCTTCTGTGTCATATTCTTCAGGGTCTAAACTCAACCTGATGGGCTCAGTGCTGTGTCTTATCTACATGGCCATTGTCTTCTTCCTCTGAAACATAAACTCCTGTGGACATGGTGTCACCTTTCTTTGCTCCTGAGTCTTGCCTCCTTTTGTGTGTCCTAGACTCTTCCTCACATCCCCTACCCAGTTTGGGCCACTGTCCTTGCTCCCTGGGATGGTTGTGGGTCCTGGTGGGAGCAGGGGCTAGTACCTAAGAGCTGAACTCTAGATCTGGAAAACCATCCCTGGCCCCATGCTAAGAGCCATGCGCCCATGGGCTGATCCCATGACTTCTGTAAAGAGGGGGAGCCCTCCCCTTCCCCCACTACCAATGTCTGGAGGGCCCCTGTGCTGGGCACAGCTTAAGGGTTAAAGGCACAGCAAGGAGCAGACAGCTGAGACCCTGGTGTGGTCCTGGTGGGGCAGGAGCAGGCCTACGACAGCCCTCCAGGCCACTACCTATTGCTGGGCTTCCTGAGGCACACAGACAAAGCTCTTGGTTGGGGTCACCTACTGTTGTCACGGGGGATTGAAGCTTCTCAAGGACCAGCCGTTCTGGGCCACCATGATGTGTGTGGTGCTCACAGAAGGTTCAGATGGCTGGCAGAGGGAAGCTTGTAGGATCAGGATGGAAAGATAGTCATTTGCTGTCATCAGGTCCTGCAAGGCTGTGTCCCTTTCTTCTTGGGCCTCCAGACGCCAGAGGAGGTAACGAATGGCTAGAGGTGTGGCATGGACGTTTCGTGCCTGGGGCTGGAGCAGATGAATAGGGCTTGAAGTCAGGAACATGGATAGGACTGTTAAATTCTGGGCTGTGGGTGCCCTGAGAGGGTGTGGTAGTGGGGCATCTACACTACAGTCACTGGACAGCTGAGGCTGTGGCTTCCCATAGCTGGGCAAACACCGTTTAGGTGCCCCTCTGCAGTGACATCGCCTGGAGGTACTTGATGCCTTCTGGGAGTAGGTCATGAGGGAGAGGGCCCCATAGTTCAGATACGACCCCAATTGAGTGTTCAAAAGGGGTGGTGACACCCTGTGGAGCACCAATGTAACCCCATTAAGTGCCAGTACCATAGTCCAGCACCTATTACACAGTCCCTAGCCTTTGAAGGTTCTGATCAGCCACAGGAGATGGGCTGCTGCCTCCCGAGGTGCGGGGCTTTTCCATCTGATTTAGTTGTTAGTGGCAGGGCCTGAGGCTGGAGGTGGAATTGGGGAGGGCATGTGAGCTAGAACTTGCTTGGTAGCCTTTGCCCCTGCCCTGCACATTTCCCTGGCCTATGTGTACGGGTGGCAGTGGCAATGCTTTTTGCCTCACACATCATCTGTGCAGCAGCCATGGAGGTCTGGTTTGTCCAGCACACTGAGGGTTCTGCAGGGCCAGGGCCCCTGAGTGCCCAGTAGAGGTATGAGGCAGGTAGCAAGGCCTTGATCTTGGGGCTGGGGCAATCACTTGTAGCAGTTGAGAAAGGGAAATGGGGGTGGCAGCATCTAATCTCGTCTTCCTTTTCAGGGGCTGGCCAGGATGTGGGCCGAAGCTGCATCCTGGTGTCCATTGCTGGCAAGAATGTCATGCTGGACTGTGGAATGCACATGGGCTTCAATGATGACGTGAGTCCCAAGGGAAGGTGGCCTGTAGGGACCTCACTCGGCAGGACCCCAGGCTCCAGAGCGTCAGGCTCTGACTGTGGAGTAGGAAGTCTAGGCAGGTGGGCGGTAGTAGGAGGCAGGTGGGTCTGGGGTCACTGCATTCCCCGGCAGTCCCTCCACTATCACTTGACAGATAGGGTGCCTTGTGTGGAAAGGTTGGTCTGTATGGAGCAGGGGCTCTTGGGCTCCTTGCAGGGTCATGTGGGGCAGCTTGGCACTCCCCACTCAGGGCTTGGTTACTGGTTCTGGCAGTTTGACCCCTCCCTGTGTTCTTGGAGCTGTGAACAGTCAGTGGTCCTGGTGTCACCTACAAGGGTGGGGGTGCTGGTGTCCAGGCTCAGCCTGAGCTCTCATTCCCCACTCCTGGGGGCTGCTCTCTGGAATGCTGGCAGATCCAGGGATGCTGTGCTCTGATCCTTTCTCTTGGCTTCTCAGAGGCGCTTCCCTGACTTCTCCTACATCACCCGCAACGGCCGGCTGACCGACTTCCTGGACTGTGTGATCATCAGGTGGGCACCTTTCGGCTGTCAGTGGTAGTGTTGTGTGTTGTGGGCTCACATCTAACCCCACCTTGAGGACGCTTAGGAGCCCAGGAGAGCTGCCTAGGTTTTGTTCCAGGGTACTGATGTGGCATGCCCCAGGGCTGGTTGTCCTGGAGGTTGTGTATGTGCATGAGGTCATAGGTATTCACAGTTGCTCCTTGGTGGGCTCTGGTCAGCACGGTGGAGCTAGGGGGCATCCTGCGCTATGCATGCCTATTGGCTGTGCCCAAGTGTTATGAATGAGAGCTCCATGTACCCCAGGAAGATGAGGCTGTGTTAGGGCAACAGGCCTATGGTAGGGAGGCCCCCTGCCCCCCCGCCGCATTGCAGGATGGCCCGTTTCTCGTGAGATCCCCCCAGGCTCCTTCTCAGGCCTCCTCACTCAGCCTCTCAGCATCATTTGGTAGCAGTGAATATGCCCGTCCTTCTGGTCCTCGATTCTCACAGAAGATTCTCCTTTTTTTTTTTTTTTTTTTGAGGGGAAAAAAAGCCTTTATTGATAAAGAGTTTACAGTGAAATAAATAGAGTGACAGTTTGTTGGGGAATAAAAACTCAGGCAGAACCTCAGTGTCTCCACCCCAGCTCTAGCTCTCAGTCTCTGCCTTCCTACTGGCCAGTTTGGATGAGGAGGACTTGGTGGGCATGCTAGCCCTCCTAGGGCCCCTGGGGGCCTCTGTCTTCCTGGCCAGGTGTTCAGGCAGCGTCTTAAACCTGCCACCATTCGGAGGAGCAGCAGCCTTGGCTTTAGGTCCCTCCTTGGCCGCATGGGCAACGACTTCTTTAGGGACACAGTTTTCCTTCTTGGCTGGAGAAGCAGCACCATTCGTGCCCTTGGGGATGGTGGATTTTGAATTCCGACTCCCAGCTTTTGTTTTCCTGTGGGTCTCATCACCTTGGCTATTCCTCCTGCCATATGTTCCCATCCACCCTGCCCCTGACATCCAGACTTAGGTCAGGCCCCTCTGGTGGCAGTCGACCTCCCCAGCCTGGCTGAATGGGGCTCCTGCTTTCCTCCAATTCCTCACACTCCACCCAGATCGTCCACGGTGTGTGTGGTCCAGCCCATTCCCAGACCATGACCTTTTCCATGTGGCCAGATGACCACACAGCCTCTTGCTGGTCTTCTCTCTGCATTTCCAAGCCAGAGGATCTCTGACCCAAGGCAGCCCTGTCCTCAGCTGCTCTGAGGCTCTTGTGGTCTCGGTTCCTCTTGGATATGGGCTTGAATGCAGCGGGTCTGCTCCATTCGTGGACACAGCACTCTGTTCCCTCTGCCCCAGTGCCTTCCTGCCATGCTTCACATGCCATGGGGTCTTCCTGCCCATCTATCTGCCAGAGATGGTATCTGTCCTGATGCCCAGTCCTCCTCTTAGCTCCTTATTACTCTATAGAACACGTGTCC